CTTGTATAACAGGCCAACCATACAGTTTCATTCAGCAAGACCAGCAGCCACCCACCATTTTTTTCAGCAAGACCCCCTGCATTCCATCACGGGCGCTCGTGGGGGCCCCACCCCAGGTCCATGGCGGCAGCTCCCTCCTGGGCCATTGCGACAGCTCATCCCTTTACCAGTTACCTTTGATCCATGCGGCACTATCTACCCAGGCGGCGGCTTGCACTGACCCATCCGGAGTGGTTTCTTCCACGAAGTAACTTCCACTGATCAACACGCCATCTGACTTACTTCCTGAACCCAACGAGCCATTCCAGTGACGACGAGTTTCTGTCGCAGGCGGGATTCGAACTCACGACCATCGGCACCCCAGACATGCGCCTTAACCGCTTGGCCATACGGGAGGCCTCCTTTGCTAAGGTTTCTAGGGGAGTATTGACTCGGTCAGACAGAAGATTGCCTACCGGTGCCTCTTGTCAATATAAATGCACAAAGGGACATTTGTTTAAAATAGTCATCAGGAGCAGCACTACCCTGCGCAGATTCTGTGGCGCGACAGGTAAGGTGCCTGCACCATGGCCGCAGAGTCCAGAGTTCAAATCCCGGGTGGGACCTTAGATTATATGCACAAGCTGCCTTTTTCATTAAGCTCCATTAATGGAAGGGACATTTCCTTGTAATAGTCATCCGGAGCCAGGCAGTCCTGCACATACTCTGTGGCGCGATAGGTAAGGTGCCTGCACCATGAACGCAGAGTCCAGAGTTCAAATCCTGGGTGGTGCCTTCAAAGATGTGCACAAGCTGCTTTTTTCTTTAAGCTCCATTAATCAAAGGGACATTTGGTTTTAATAGTCAGCCGGAGCCAGGCAGCCCCGCACAGACTCTGTGGCGCGATAGGTAAGGTGCCTGCACCATGGCCGCAGAGTCCAGAGTTCAATTCCCGGGTGGGGCCTTAGAGGAGATGCCCAAGCTGCCCTTTTCCTTAAGCTTCATTAACCAAAGGGACATTTGTTTGTAATAGTCATCCAGAGCCAAAATGACCTGCACATGCTCTGTGGCACGATAGGTAAGGTGCCTACACCATAGCTGCGGAGTCCAGAGTTCAAATCCCGGGTGAGAGAACACCCTCATGTAACACAAAGCCTTTTGAAACACTCTTAATTTCCTGCTCTCCATGCTTGCTGTCTTGGGTTTATGGCAAATGTAGTATTTTAACGTCCACAGTGCTCTCAGGGAAAACCACTGCAATCAAAAAACCTGTAATTGTCTGTCACCCGAGTGGTGCCCACTGCTGAAATTCGCATTTGGGTGTTATCTGCCTTCTACACCAATATCCGGCGTAGGCC